AAGGATCCAAAAGTATCTTGGTTTAATTTTGTCCTTCAAACTTTATCTGGATTCAAGGAGATTGTGTGTGATTTGATGACCCGGTTCATAATGTGGTTTTTCCTTTTTTTTTTTTTTTTTTTTTACCTCCTCCTTTTTTTTTTATGGCTATAGGAATGGAAAAGGACCAGTTTTGTAACAGCATAAAAAAATAGCTTTTCACAGTTCTGAGTTATTTCCTACTCTCAAGCGTCTCCTGCAATGTTGCACCATTTTGGCTTTGGTGTGCCTACAGCTGTGAAGCGGAGACTGAAGCTGCAGCCTCAAGCAGGGAACTTCCATCCTTCGCAGGTTGGTTCAGCACAGACGGATTTCAGTTGCAGATTGCAAGCCAGAGGCAGCAAGAATGTGGCATTTAAAGGGTCTGGAGAAATCTCCACCACAGTCATGTGTCAAATGCTGGAGCCATCAGCTTTCAAACAGTGGATGCTTAAGATTCAGAGCATGCAGATACAGTACCGGCACTATAAATAATCTCCGCAGCGCAGGAATGCACTATACCAACAGACACACATTGGCTGCTTCTCTTGTCCTGGGCTGCTGTCATGTTTTTTTTCATTCTGCAGAGACGGAGCTAAACTCTGCTGGCCTGCATCTCATTGCAGCATATGGGCATTTCCATCCTGTGCAATACCCTGAGGGTCCGGAGCTGTGTATGAGAAGTTCCTGAACTCATCCTGATTAATCATTGGGATCAACCGCTCATCGATCGGGGTTAACACTGCTTCCTCTTTAATGAACTCTGGGTCGAAGTTGCTCACATCGTCCCTGGTTTTCTGGACAATAAAATAAGAAACATTATTTCACAGTCAAATCATCGAAGAATAGTTTACTCAGCAACATGAATCACTGAAGTTTCCTGAGATGTTAAGTAAAAGAGGACTCGGAGCTAAAGGTCTGGACTAACCTCATTTATAAAAAGTTCTACCCAGAACCCCGACCCTAGTCACATAGCCCTGCCTTCCACAAAATAAAACTCCAAGATCTCCTTTTACATTCCTATGCATCTCTGTATCAGAATCTAGACTTGCATGCGCAACTCCATTTACACTCTCAGAAAAGTCACAGATGGCAGGAAAGAGTTCTTTACTGTGGAAGCGACATATTTGGGTTGATTTACTAATCAATTGAGCTGTTCATGTTGCAAGGGAATTTTCCCTTGGTTTAGTGACTCACATTGCACAGAATGCCCAATCAAGCAAGGTAGAAAAAAAAAGTATTTTTGCTTGCACATGATTAGATGAAGGAAGTCAGCAGAGCTTCACTTCTCTACGTTTGGGGGAATTCCCTTGCAGAATACAAATTCTCTTCAAAGTGAACAGCCTATTTGCCTTTAGTAAATCAACCTCAAAATGTTTCTTCTGCAATAAAAAAGCCTGTCTGCTTTCCCATATTTTATGTAAAGTTCCACTTTAGCAAACACATATGCAGGCTTTTTATAGTGTTCCCATTCTGAAGAAGTGGGGTTATTTTATAGATGAGCACTATAAAAAGCCTGCATATGCTCTTGCTAAAGTGGAACTTTACATAAAATATGTGCAAACAGACAGGGTTTTTTATTGCAGAAGTAACATGCTGAGGGTGTTTTACTAAGCCTAGGTTCACACTTGCCCACACTATGCAGGGTGGTTGCAGCTGCAGGAATCGCACTTGTTCCTGCATCCGCAACCACCCATAGCTAAATCACGCTGCTCTTAAGGAACATGCGGGTCTGCCATTCATTCTTAATGACACCCCCATGGATCTCAACCCACAGTGCATTTGCAGGTGCGGGGATCGCAGGGAAATCACATGGTCAAAAGCATCATACAATTTTCATGCGGCCATTCAAATGACCTGCACAAGTGGGAACCTGGTGTACAGGCAAATAGGCTGTTCACTTTGCAAGAGAATTTGTACTCTGCAGAGAATTACTCTTCACATAATGAATGATGTTTTTGCTTTTTAATTTTTTTTGTTTTTGCATGTGACATTTTATTCATTGCAAAGTGAGTCACATGAGTTAAGGAAAATGCCCCTTGCAAAGTGAACAGCTTATCTGCCTTGTGTAAAAACAAGCTCAGCATGTTTCTTCTTTAATAACCTGCCGGTTTACACACATTTTATGTAAAGTTCCACTTTAGCAGAAGCATATGCAGGTTTTTTTATAGTGCTCGTTTTGAAGCAGTGCTGTTATTTTATAGACATTACTAACCTTGAGAGATCACTTTTAAGCTGTTTACACAGCCCCGGAGTGCCAATAGACTAGATTATCTGCAAAAAAATTGTTGTTTAAAACCAATTCTGTTCATATTTACTCGATGGACAGGTAGACGGATGGATGGAAGCCTTTGCAAACAACCCCTATTTCCAGGCCAAAATAGCATCAACAAGAAAATGGGGTAAACATTCTGGAACTTACTTCTGCTCAGGATACTGCTAAACCAGTAGAACAAACTAGGTCTATGTCACACAAGCAATCCAGATGCTAGGGATAGGATCTAACAGAACACTTAAATTTGGCTATGGCATTCATTAGCCGGATCAGCGAGATGTCGCTCCCCTGTTAGCAAGTGGCATTCTCCAGTATTCTGGCCAAGCGAGGGTGTGATTCCAATAGGATAAGTAGAAGGTTCTTTTCTGTGCTTCTGCTAGCAGAAGAATCACCTGTGTGACATGGTGTGATGAAGAACGCCTTTCACTTTTCATTTGCCCTACAAGTAAACAGTTGCCTAGTCTAAGGGATTGGAGAGTGTCCATCAGATTTAAATCGAAGATGAATGAGCCCAAAAGTCTCAGGGCTCCTTGTGCATCTACTCAGATGGTATGTCCACTTGTGGACTGACCACAATCTGCCTGGACCCATGACAAATTAACAAATTCAGTCTGTAAATCTTTGGACTAGATAAGGCTTCTGCGTTCTGAGCCGGAATCTACTGTAAATGGACCAAACTACAGTGATGACTTTGGAATATGTAATACTTACAATTCTGGGCCTAAATGGAGGCTCAATTTCTTTTCGGTTGAGTTGATCCCAGTTAATGTCTTTGAAAAACGGATGCCAAATGATGGCTTTTTCTCTCCCCCTAAGGCCAGGCTTCCAAGGCGCTTATTGGGCTTTTTCTTCATGAACTAAAAAGAGAGGGAAGCATGCAATTAGTAAACTTTACTGAGATCTTCCTACATACATAAAATGATAAATCATGAGAAGTTATCAGGTTTTTTTTCAGTAATTCCAGTTCCTTCCTAATACTGATATTATCTACATCACAACAAATCATATAAAGTGAATAAAAAAATCCAATAAGGAGAGCGGTAGCCTCTCCTAATGTCCAAAGCAGGTGTGCAGATCCAGGAATTTAGCACAGAGATCTCACTATCAGAGCCCCTTAGGAAAGAATGAATGAATTTACTGCACGAAAATGGACAAGTGTGAACTTGCCCTACCGGCTGTGTATAGAAAAATGCATCTGAAGCAACCAAAGCCTTGCCCCGGCTCCTTATCACACATCTTTTATTATTATTATTATTCAGTATTTATAAAGCGCCAATAGTTCGCTCAGCGCTGTACATTACAAAGGGGGACAGAACATGTGACAGAACAATACCAATACAATGCAAAAATTTGAGGGGATCGAGGGCCCTGCTCTTTCGAGCTTACAATCTAGGATATGGAACAATGTCTGGGTTCTCTGGTCCTGTGTGGGCTGTAATTGTGCTGTCTAGAGTAGCTGTTACAGTCTTGTTTATTGCTGTTTATCAGATAGGAAATGTTGTAGTTTCTAAAGGCCCACAGTGCCTTATGCAGTGCCTTTTGATAAATGTGATCCTGTGTACATATAATCTACTTTCCTTTAAAGCTACACCAGACAAACAGGTAAATCCACAGCTGAAATACATAGAGGAGCATTGACGTAGCTCTCAAAAGATTTGATTTTATCCATCCAGTCCAAACAATTACCCAGCTATGCCAGACAGCATGGCCTGTAAGTACTATAACTAGATACCCTCCCTACTCCCAGGATGTAAAGCGGGCCATAGATGGATCTAATTTTTTATTTTCAGCCAGCAGGTTAGACACACCCACAAAAAAAATGAACAGATTTCTCCATCCACACAAGTGGGATGGATAGAGGAATCCTCCCCCACTGACACATTGTATTCTGACAGATGGACTCTCTGCTGTCAAAATACAAAGATGAGTGGCTGCAGCTGCTGATCAAGAAAAGTTTTCAAAAAAGCTAAATCGATTTCTGTCAAGCAGGAGTGGCCACACATGGACTGGAGTCCCTGCTGAACTTTTCAACTATCGATCCACCTATGGCCGGCTTAACTGGACAATACAAAGGCAGCAACACAACGATGAAGTAATTTCTTTGCTCGTTCCTCATCAGCACATGTGCATGCAAGACACCTGATTGGCCCCAGATACTGCCTCTGTCTCAGTGTTGTTGTACAGAGAATTACAAGAGACAGAAATCAAGTCAAATTCAGGTATTTAGATTAGTTGCATTTAAAATCCATTTTTGTAACAATGGTTTTTTCACATATATGCCCTGAGTCCAGCTGTAATACTTTCACTTACTGAATCATTCATCCTTTTAAGTACAAATTTCAGCACTCTGTGTGATTCTCCAGGCAGCCATCCAAAGCACTACTGTCTTGGCTCATGTGCCAGCTGAGAAGATATTTACAGCAGCTGTATATCTTTCTCCTGCTGACCTTCTGAAGGACATGGCTCCTCAAGTGTTTGGCTCCATCAATAATAGTTTAACAAGCCTGACAACTCCAGCTTGTTTGATTCCTACCCACCATTAATCTTGGAGCACAATATTTTTAGCATTTGCTTAAGTCTCCAGCTTCTTGATAACCTCGTGACCTCTAGTAGAGGTGAATGACTGCTTTGTAGAAAATCTGTATGCAGTTAAATGAAGTGGTTTTCCTAGCCAATGCATTGTCTGGTAGTTCATATCTTTTCATACCAATGTATGCTTGCTATAATACTGCTGCAATCATGAGAGTTTCCATGCTTAAGCCCAAAAATGACTTCTGAATTTGGCACTGGCATGCTTTTATATGTCCTAATTACTTTTTTAACCACTAGCCTACCGGGCACTTTCACCCCCTTCCTGCCCAGGCCAATTTCCAGCTTTCAGTGCTGTCACACTTTGAATGACAATTGCGCGGTCATGCAACACTGTACCCATATGACATTTTTATCTTTTTTTTGAGACAGATAGAGCTTTCTTTTGGTGGTATTTAATCACCTCTGGGATTTTTATTTTTTCTTAAACAAACAAAAAACCACTGAAATTTTTGAAAAAAAAAACTTTTTTCTTAGTTTTTGTTATACAATTTTGTAAATAAGTGATTTTTCTCCTTCACTGATGTGCGTTAATGAGGCTGCAGTGATGGGCACTGATAGGCTGCACTGATGGACACTGATAGGTGGCACTGAGGAGGCACTGGTAGGTTGCACTGATGGGCATTGACAGGCATCACTGATGGGCACTGAAAGTCAGCATTGATAGGCGGCACTGACTGGCACTGTTAGGCAGCACTGACTGGCACTGTTAGGCGGCACTGACAGGCGGCACTGATGCGCACTTATAGGCGACACTGATTGGCAGCACTGATAGGTGGCACTGATTGGCATTGATAGGTGGCACTGACTGGCACTGATGGGTGACATTGAAAGGCAGCTCAGATGGGCACTGATATGTGGCACTGATGTGCACTGGTATGCACTGATATGTGGCATTGATGTGGCACTGACACGTGGCACTGATGGACACTGACAGGTGGCCATCAGTGCCCTGATGGATCAGTGTACATGTCCGCTCCGCGCAAAGCCGATTTCTGGCTCTCCTCTCCTCTCGAGCTGTCAGCGTGACAGCTCAAGAGGAGAGAAATGCCGATAACCGGCATTTCCGTGTTTACATGTGATCAGCTGTGATTGGACACAGCTGATCATATGACTGAGCCGACATCTTCGGCTCTTTCCGTGATCCGCTGTGTCCGAGGGACACAGCGCACCGGCAATCGCCGCGCTGCGCGCTCCCTGAGCCGCGCATGCGCGGTGAGAATGGAAGGACGTCATATGATGTCCTATCAGAATGAGAGAACCACCTTGCGCCCATCATTGTACTATATGGCGGGTGGAAGGTGGTTTAAACTAGGTAAATATCTGCCCCAATATACAGTTCCTGCGACTGCTTCATCCCTCTCCTGTGCTCCCACTTTTCAGCACAACCCTTTATCTGATACCGTATGACCCCTCCCCTTTACACTTAAAATGACCATGTCACTGGACAGCCACTGTCAAAGTACCTCCAGCATACGCGTACAGGAACAACATCAACCCTGACACTATTCCCAACGTGTCCTACAATACACATGGAAATACAAATTGCTTGGAGCGCGAATCTTTGCATGTCCCTCCAGTGAAAAATTCCTGCTCCTAGCAATTCCGTACAGTGGGACTTTAGTTCTGCTTTAATAAAGCTTTAATATTTTTTTATGGTTGGAGTTGTCATTTAATTATTTATATAATGATGCATTGCGTGTTTCTACAAACAATTTTGCAGTTTTGCATCTGTCCCCGATTACCAATTCTTGCTTCTTTTAACTAGTTTAAATTAGTTATTGATAGCTACATTTACAGTAAAGGCCCCTTTCAGATGCAGCAAACTCCATCAAGCGGTTCTGCCTGCTCAGCGGGGATCTCTCCGCTGATTCCTGCAGAGCAGGCAGATGATAGGTCTGTATCTGCTCTGTTATGCTGCCACTATTCCTCCCACTGATACCAACAATGGAGCAAAATTCCTGCTACTGACATCAGCAATGGGGCCCATTGACACCAACAACGGGGTCCTATTTTTCCCACTGACACGAACAACAGGGCAATATGCCTCCCACTGACACCAATAATGAGGCACTCAAACTGACACCAACGATAGGGCACTATTCCTCCCACTGACACCAGCAATGGGGCACGATTCCTCCCCCTAATACCAAAGATGCATTTTTTACTTCCACTGACACCAGGACAATTTCAACTCCTTATGGCCACAGACCAGCCCCCCTAAAGTCTGAAGGACAGTAAATTGGCCCTTTGTTTACAACATTTGGAGACCCCTGCTCAATGGGGTGGTCGAAAGGAAACAGACCGCCTGTCCGTTTCCATCCATCTGTCAACCGATCCGATGGATGGGTGGATGGGGAAACTGATCCCCATCCGTCTGTATTTAGCAGACATAACTTCCGTTCCTCAAACTCTAGTCTTCTGTGTGTCCTCCCTACTCACCTACACTCGATGGGAGGCAGAGCCTTCACCTGCTATACCCCAAAACTCACTTCCAAAGAACATCCGAGACATTTTCTCTAAACTCATTCAAATCAAATCTAAACTTTTTTCTTTAGACAAGCTTTCATGTAACTGTACCTATTTTAACCTGTTTTTTCCTGTGTATTTCTTGTCTTTTCAGACTCTGCCTTTAAATGTGCTATATAAAATAACATTTATTATTACTTCATCCATGTATGAAACAAGAACTGTATGTGTTGTCCATGGCAACAATTCTGGATTTTGTGTTTCTAGTGCATGAAAAAGAAGATACTAATAAATTACAGGTGTTTAAGGTTGGAGAAGGATCCCAGCTATGCTGACTGAAGATTTATTAAAGTGTATTTTATGATACTGTCAGCCTGTTTGTATAAAACCAAAATGTCCGGCGTTCATCTCATTCAGACTGTCTGATGCCATTTCAGTTTGCCCTGGCGAGCGTCCAGCTGCAGAAATTCCACCTCGCTATGGTGAATGCTGGTTCTGTTTGAGCTCCAACAGGTGGTGGGGGGGGGAAAGTAAGTGAAATATTTACAAGTAGTTCCCGAAATTAAATAAAGTGGATATTTATGGCACTGGTGCACAAAAAACCCACAATGTGCAAGGGAAAAAAAAAAGTGGCTTCAAATTTCTTTTTAAATGCTGCTCAACCACAGCAGTGCCATATTTAGTCTAGCTGAAACCTGCAATCTCAGGACGGCAGCATGACCTTGTGTGATCCAAACTACTCAGATAGGAATGTGTACCTGTTTTATATGCGGTATAATTTTCAGGGCTTGAAATCTTATTCTTCTGCTAGAATATTGGTGATTTACAATAGGTACTGCATATAATATTTTGAAGAAAGTAGGGTATAAGAGAACATTCTACCTTCACAGGTTACTTTGCTGTACAAGGACTGAAAAAGCACAAGGGGATCCATAAGCATGAAGGGTTATTGAGTAGAGTAAGTGGTATGTAGGAAGGTCTCCTTCTCTTATGAACATCTAGGCAAGCATTTAAAAAATATATGGCAGTGGTAATGCTTGCTTACATTGGGTGGTGTGGGCAATGCCTACTGTAAGTGAACCAAAAAACAAAAATTGTAATAAATTGCAACTTACTAATAAATATATGTGGTGGCTGCATCCTTTCTTTTTTTTTTTTTTAAGACTTAAGTTTGGACATGTTACCACTTGAGTTTTTTATTTATTTTTTATTTTAATTTAGTGATCCTGTCAGTAACACGCTTTACTGTCCTAGGGTGACAACAATCACAATACTTCATCTAATGAGGAGCAGCATTGCCAACCCTGGCTGCTCTCCTTGGACTACAAAGACTCCCTTTCCATTACATGGGGAGGTAGTTTTCAGTAGTTCATATAGGATAACTTAGAAAGTTACAAGAACTCAATGGGGGAGATTTACCAAAACTGGAGAGTGCAAAATCTGGTACAGCAGTGCATGGCAGCCAATCAGCGTCTTAACTTCAGCTGGTTCAATTAAGCTTTGACCAAAAAACACTGGGAACTGATTGGATTCTATACAGAGCCCTGCCCCAGATTTTGCACTGTTCGGTTTTAGTAAATCAACCCCAATGTTTCTTGCAAGATCAACAGGTATTTTCTGTACTCCGCTTATAAAAAAAAGAAAATGACCACAACCACCACATCCTAGGACTGAAAAGCTGTAGTATATTACAGTTTTGACCTTGAGTTTATACATCCTTTAACAGGAAACAAGAAGATCTAAAACACAGAAAAGTATGGTCTGCTTCTATGGGCCTAGTGCTTTTTTTTTTTTTAGGGAGGAAAAAAAAAAAGTCTTGAAAAGTAGGAGGATCTTTACAAGGGTGGGACGGAATGGTGGCAAAGAGGATCTGGCCATGAAAACAAATGTACATGCCTACCTTAAAGGATATTTAAACCCAAGTGCAAAAATGTAATATATTGCAACTTACCAGTCCTTAGATGTGGTGGCTGCATTCATTTTCATTTTTCAGGATAGGTAAATTTTAAGGAAGTACAGAAAAAAATCTGTTGATCTTGCCAGAAATGCAGTGTCCTTCAAATACCCTGCCCCTATGTAATGGAGATGAAGAGGACAACATATTTGTCATCCAAATCAGGTGAGAAGCCTGTGATTTTTTTTTTTTTTTTTATTATTTTTTGGTTTAAACATACTTTAACCAAAGAAGACATGTCTTTAAACTAATACTCAACCCGCCAGTATCCTGCACATTATCACTTAAAGCAACTTGTGGTTTGACAATGCAGGGCACTGCAACAGGTTAATTGTAATAGTAGCCCCCACAAAACAAAATTCTACCTTCTCTTTATTCTGCCGTTCAGAGAGAAAACAAACTTCTGGGTATTCATCCAAAATCAGAAATTAAGACCCTCTCTCAGGTGAATCAGATTTTGAGATAACATAAAAACTGCATTTCAAGCTGAACTCCAAGTATGATCTAAATTGTGTAGCTACACTGGTCCAGCTTTGGACCAATGTCAGTATGCATATTTGATGCCTGGTGGACCGTTGAACATGACTGTAGCTGTAATCGCCACTACAGTGATTGCTCCTGTCTTTTAGGTCCTGTGCCGAGTGGCTGCCCCACTGCACACTGGCCAAAGGGGTCATTGACTCTGCACCACAACCACTCACCTTGTATTTTTTCAATAAATAAAAAGTATTTTCTGATTGGACGAGGTGGCTGGGTGGTGATGTCAGGATATCCACCCCATCCAATCAGAGAATGCCTTGTATTCATTTAATAAAATACAAGGCATTCTCTAAATGGTGGTGGTGCTGAGTGAGTGATCCCCTGTAGTCAGTATACAGTAGTACAGCACTCAGTACGAGACT